GTCTTTTTCTTTTATATTTACTTGAGAAAAAAAAAAACAAAGAATCGTTTCATTCAACGAACGGACTTATTCCTTCTTTAATCCACGGATCAAAATTGCATAGCTTTCTTTCAGTACTTTCAACGATTCCAATTTTCACTAATACTTTGCTCAGTGAGTGTCCCACAAAACCTCTGCACATCAGTTCCAGCGGATCTATCTATCTATCTATCTATCTATCTATCTATCTATCTATCTATATACATAATTAGGCAGCAATTCATTTAAATAAGTTTTATGATATTCAACAGTCTTCCTAACCTTTTGTTTCAAGTAGAATGAATCGTCAACATTTTGATTATGTCATTATTTACTGTTTGAATTACACCAACAAAACTGTAAAGAGCGATAACAGCTAGTGGACTTGACTAGGAGAAAGACCACACTGAATGCAAAACCTCCAATTATGAACAGTATTTACATTAGTCGGACTATTGTCCTCATCTTTGTCGCCATATTTGTCACAACGTTTCGACCGTTGTACGCTCCGGCCTTCTTCAGGTGGTTGGAATTTCGAACTGAACCCTTTATTTCGATCGCTGGGGTAGACTGTTCTAATTCCACAAATATGGCGACAAAGATGAGGACAATAGTCCGACTAATGTAAATACTGTACATAATACCTCATCTCAGAAATATAGACAAACTCCAATTATGAGTTAGATAGCCTCATCAACCCGCTATTGGCTAAGCGTGGTGAGTACTGCTACAGCCCTGAAAACATGCTCAATCAAAGGGCTATTCCTCCGACAAAATTGAGAATTCTCTTGATTTTATCCTGGGCACTTTCAACCGCCCTGGGTATTTTCTTCAGGTTTGCCGACCAGTCCGAACAACATACATTGCTACTTTTTTCCTAAGAGTAATGATAAGTTAATTCCTAATAGATATTACAGCCTAGTATCCTACAGTTGCAAAAATTTACCAAGGCCGAAACAAAAAAAGGAAGGATTTATTTAACAAACAATGACCATTTTAGAAAAATAAACTATTCTTAGCTTAGTTGTACGCACATTTTGAATGAAAATTAAAGAAAATAAGCGGGGGTCTTATACACAAATAAATGGTTTCAGAAATGTTTATTCAGCTTTAAAACCCCTCTTATTTGAAACAGCAAGATTGCAAATAAACCTAGCACAATAGATAATAAAACATAAAGTAAGCAGGTGTTGATAACAAATGTTTACGAAAGTATTTGATATGTCGTCCATATTTGTTCTTTGAGGTTCAGCGTAATTGAATGGTTTTTGTCTCAGTTTTGCTCACAAGATAAAGTTTGTTTATGTTTTGATTTTCTTGTTTTTTATAAAGTTTTCTCTCTTCATTCTTAATGAGAGACAATATTTTGTTTTTATTTTTTATAGTTTATTAATATATAGAAATATAATAAAGTCATATCAAACAGAAAAGTATAATAGATTAACTTACAGCTTAAAACATATTACCGGTTATATCTCGTCAGCACCTTTCACCGGAAATTCGAAAATAAGTTTTGAAACAGAAATTAGAAGAAACGCACAATAGTTAAACATCAGATTCACTTCTATTTTTAATATCTTGAAAAATTAAATATTTTAGGGAAATATTTGTACGACATTGAGATTTTAATGGATAATATGGCACAAGCTTTTTAAAAAAAAATACATAGGGATGGCTACGGGTGACTTTAGTTTACGTACCTTTCTTGTGGTACAAGGACGAAAGTATGGAGCACACAGTGACGATCGAGCTCAATAATCAGTCATAATTTATCTAGCTAGACAAACTTGCTAACCATTGCACCACGCCGAAGAGCTCTAAATGATTTTCTAAGGATAGCTTAGATGTGGCACAAGGCCGAGTGTGTGGAGCACACAGTGAGGATCGAACTCACTACTCAGTAGTAATTGATCTAGCAAGACAAGCTTACTGACCATTACATCTCGTCGAAGTACCTAATGGTTATACTAAGGGGTTGTATTATACTCAAGAACGTAATTTATTCCCCGTCCTGGGTATGACAATAAACTACACCCGCGTCCTGGGTAAGGCGATAAACTGCATCCGCGTCCTGGGTAAGACGATAAACTACGTCCACCAACAAGGCCTCTGATCAGGAGTTTTTGAGGAGAGTGGAACCACTTCTTAATTGCTGGTGTTCCCAGGACCACCTTGACCCGGGGTGGTAGCACCTGTTAGGGTCCCAGCTATGGTCAAATAGTTAACCCCCAAACTGGAATCAAAACACTATGAAAGTGTAAAAATAGGTTTTAATACCAGAAATACTTTGTAAAACAATTATTACCAGCAATAAATTTTTGATGGGAAAAATTATTAGCAGCAATACATTTTTGAAAAAAAATTACTAGCAATATATTTGAAGAAAAAATATTACCAGAAATATAATTTTGAAGCAAAAAAAATATTACCAGAAAAAAAATTGTCGGCATTAAATAACCCATTGAGGTTGATATGTCGTAAAACAAACCAAACCAAACCAATTTAAACCAAAGAATACATACTCTATTCATACGAATCTATCCTAAAAATTTTGTCGGCATTAAATTACTCATTGAGGTTGATATGTCGTAAAAACAAAACAATCTTATTCCCTGTTCTTAGTTTCAGAAGCCCAGGATCTTATTATATTCAAGTCACATTATACTTAATAAAATACAGTATATCTCTCCTTTAAGTTCCAAGCAACATTTCCGACAAGAAATTCAATATTGACAGCAGACAGAGAAAGAAAACTGAAGGAACTCTGAGACAAGATATGTAAAGGAAAGAGAGAAGAAAGGACTATTATTTGTAAGAAGAAAAAAATGTATAGTTGTTAGAAAAACGAGCAGCCCAAAATGAGAGCGACAAATTGGAGAGATCAAAATTAAGCCAGAAATTTAACTATCTAGGAAGTGTTTTAAAAGACGACAGAAAATGTGATGGCCCATTGGAATAGTAAAAGACACTTTCTAAAAGCTAAACAAAGTATTAACAAACAGGAAAATGTTGTTAGAAACAAAGAATAGAGTGCTTGTTATGTCATATCAATCCTCCTATATGGCAGAGAATACTGGATAAATTCCCCACATGATAAAAAGACAACAAAGACGTAGTTCTACAGGCGGATGATGAGAATACCATGGACAGATAATGTGAGCAATGAGGAAGTTTTAAAGAAAATAATAATAAAAAGAACACATACTTTGAATCATAAAGAGATAACTGAAATCTTTAGAATATTTAATTTGATAAAAATCACATAGGGATGGCTGTACAACGCGGTTGTAGGATGTAATTTATTTCCTGTTTTTAGCTTCAGAAACACAGGGTAGTATTATACACAAGTATTATACACAAGAAAATACACTATGTATTTGTGATAACATCATAGAATGTTGTAGCATACCTACAGACGATAATGGGTATGTCCCCATTCACATAAATACAGTAGTAAATACTGTATGTTGGTCTGCAGTTGGAGATTCGTTTCCAGCGTTTTATACTGGGTCTACGGGAATTTTGACCGAGCCTACGGTTTCAGAGACCCCACATTAAATTCGGCCTAGTGCCACATCTGACCGCGTGGGGTGGTTAGTACACAACCTGCAGTTGGAGATTCGTACCCAGCTGTGCTGGTCAAACTCACTGCCCCCGGGCACAGAGGATCCCTAGACGAGGCTATGTCGAAGGGCAGAGTCTCGTCTCGGGAAACAGCAACCCGACCCCGTTTTATACGGGGTCTATGGGGAATTTTTTGCCCGAGCCTACGGGTTCAGATGCCCCACATTAAATTCGGCCTTGTGCTACATCTGACCGCGTGGGGCGGTTGGTAGATATCCTGCCGTTGGAGATTCATTGTGGGATTCACTTGACTCATTTCTAACAGTTGACTACTACTTCTACGCGCCACTAGCGAATCTTATACGTGTTGTTCTTGTCCTAAGTATTATCGTTCATTACCAACCTTCGTGTGATTATTCTATTCAGTAACCTAAGTTACAACACAGAAACAACAAGAATTTCATTACGTTTATAAGACAATACCGAGGTAATGTCTGTTCCGTTAGTCAACGGTTAAAAGTTGGCAACTTCTCATTTAAGAATTTGAAAATCCCTACAATTACATATAAAGATTTTAATGTCAAAGGACTTGTAAATGAAAAAAATATCAGGAATTACTGTCTCAGGACGTAATATTGATGTATGTTGTCCCCAAACCTGATGTCAATATCGGTGTTAGGCAGTACAAGTTAACAGCTTTGGAAACAGTAAATATTATAGAAACTAACTTAAAAGCCGCCCGATCAGACGGCATTTAAGCTATCTCCTGCGGAATCTCTTGATAGGGCCTTCATCGCAATAGGTAGGGAGGAGTAGATGTGATAGATAACAATAAACTACAGAAGAACTTAAAATTGATTACTGCATTTAAGTATTGCATTAATATTTAAACTTACCTTTTAAAAGTACAACGATAATTATTCTGCTGCCACTTAATTTAAATACAACTTGATGTACGTAGGTCCTTACTTTCCATACAAACAATTATTTTTATTTCGCTGGATTTCTCAATTAATTACGATTATTCACAATTTTATTTGCAAGTTATAAAAATTGTTATCGTACAAAAAAATTTGTCACAAAAATCATGTAAAATCGCCGAAAAACAATGGCAGTAATGAAAACTTTGGAATTCAGAATTTCAGAATTACGGGTCCGGATCTGGCCCGGGTCTTACATTTTTGTTGTTCTTTGGGCCTTTCCATCCTGAGATTTTTAGGTTCAAATCTATTCTCTCTAATGGTTACCCTCCCCACACACACAAACCGCATTCAGTGAGGATCGAAATCACAACAGAATGGCAAGCAAATTTTTGTTTTACAAAGCGCGATATTAGTGGCATGCCTCGAAGCTGCAATGTGAGGAAGTATCGGAAGTCTTCTAGACCAGGCTTGAAACAAATTCATCATTACTCCTTGTACGGCTATATCACGTTGAAGCACTAGTTCGCGTACGATCACCAAACTTAAGCAATGTCAAGCCTGGCCAGTACTTAGATGGGTGACCCGTTTGGAATACTGAAAGCTTGGATGTACGGGTTGTGTAAAGGATAACAGCTCTGAATTGGAAATTGAAGAGCCGAGTTTCAATTCCAGTTTGGTTCGTTATATTCACTTGCGCCGCCAGTATGAATCCACTTCATCTCCCTCGCTATGGGTTAAGTAGTTGTATCAGCAAATGATTATTAGCTACAAAAGATTCTTACAATATAAAAATATTTTATGGCTGAAAAAGGTCGATAAACCATAAAAAACAAGTCAAGCAATCAATTGTGAGTTAGCAAAAGACAGGGAGGTTGGGAGAGGACTCATAAGATATTTTTAGAAAGTTGCAGAAGTCGAGAAAATCGCACTGATTTGTAATGCGCCTTCGTGTCAAAACAGCTCTCATGATGATAATGTTCGTAACTCGGAGGTTTGTAAGTTCGGGAGGGCTTTCATTGTGAAGAGTTTCGAGTGAAAGCCGACAGAAAATTCAGTTCGCGTCTTTTCTTTGTCTATCTCTCTTTCAATACTTTTCCCTTTCTAATAAAAGGAAAAAGAAAAAGGAAAAAAAAACACCTAGAAAGTAAACATAAACAAATTATTGTAAAGTTTGTCTTTCTGGCCTGGACGGCAATGAAAAAAGATCTCCGCTGCGCGCGGGCCAACGATGCGTAAATGTGAAAACGAAAGCAAACGTGGAAATCAAAGACCAGCCGAGGTTTCCGAAGGACCCACTTCACGATTGCTCTCACCTTTAAAATGACTTATAATTGATGTGTAACCGACCAACAGTCTTTGAAGGACAATATTATAAAACCTTTTTCCCTTTCCACCAATTCAAATAATAACAAAACGCATTATTCACAGCAAATTGGTCGCAAAGGGAATCAAATAAGTCTCTACTGGACTTCTATATGAAAGCAAATTAGAAATACCTGGAAAAGTGAGCGCATTTAAGTGATAGTTAAAAAGCTAGTCTCATTATTATTTGTACCTCTTCCTCCTCTTCTTTCTTCTTCTTCTTCTTCTTCTTCTTCTTCTTCTTCTTCTTCTTCTTCTTCTTCTTCGCAAGATCATCGATAATGTTTCTCCACAACTACCTATTATTCTGTCTATACTTCTGATGTGAGGTACTGTAACTATTTACACTATTTACATTGTTCAAACTGTCAACATCATTGTGATATTCATGACGTTTCGGGCGTTGTACACTCCGGTCTTCTTCAGGTGATATACGCTGATGTCCCCAAGGACAGATGTGACTTGACCCAAAGAGTTGTGAGTTCAATACCTGGCCACAGCAAATGTGAACAAAAACTTGGAGAGTTGAGTCACTAAGGGGAAATAACTGAAACTGAGATATCCAGAAAAGGCATGGCACGTGGAACGAGAACAATCTCCCCCACATGGACTAAATAAAGGGTTTGGTTCGAAATTCCAACGTATATCACCTGAAGAAGGCCCAAGTGTACAACGACCGAGACGTTGTAAATATGGCAATGTAGGACAACAGTCCGAACAATATAAATAGTGTTTCTATTATTCTTTACATTATATACTCGTGGACTATCTTCTTGTTGTTATCAGAACTTTTTGGCCGTTGAACTCTCCGGCCTAAATCACCTGCATGCCGATCCGGTTTGGTTTGTTTTGTTTTTTTTTCTTCAAAAATTTATTTCTGGTAATAATGTTTTACAAAGTATTTCTGGTATTAAAACCTATTTTTACACTTTTATAATGCTTTTTACCTCACTTTCGAGGTTAACTATTTGCCCATAGTTGGGATCCTAACAGGTGCTACCACCCCGGGTCAGGGTGGACCTGGAAGCATCAGCAATTAAGAGGAGGTTCCACGCTCGTCAAAGCCTCCTGATCAGAGGCCTTGCTGTTGGACATAGTTTATCGTCTTACCCTGCACGCGGATGTAGTTTATCGTCCTACCCAAGACGCGGATGTAGTCTCAGTTTTGGGGTTAACTATTTGCCCATATCTGGGACACTAACAGGTGCTACCACTCCAGGTCAAGGCAGACCTGGAAACATCAGCAAGAGCTTGTTTCATGCTCTTCAAAGCCTTCTGATCAGAGGCCTTGCCGTTGGACGTAGTTTATCGTCTTACCCTGGACGCGGATGTAGTTTATCGTCATACCCAGGACGTTGCCGATCCGGGTAACGGGTGTAGATCGGTTAGGTACCATCACTGCTTTCATTCCAATTCCAGATCATAATTTCTCTTTTGGAAAGGTATGTCTCGAGTCCCATTTCTTGGAACACTTGGTAGAGGATGCTGATTTTCTGTTCAACATCATCCACAGTTGAGCGAGTGACCAACAAAACTTGTAACTCCAAAGATGAACTGAAGGCAAGTATTAAAACAGCATTCACCAATTTAAACAAGGAGACCGTCCAGAAGGGATACAGGAGATTCCGAAAATGTCTGGAGGTCGTGGTTGAAGCAAATGGCGATTTTATTGAATAAATTTACTCTTTAGTATTTCAAGGTATATTTGTGTAATTTTAGTAAATATATCTATTAAAATGAAATTTCAGTGTTATTTTAATTTTTGCGTAATTTGGACGACAATTCATCCATCGCATCCTGTATATACACGCACATTTATATGATAATGGTAATAGTAATATTAGCCGTTTCCCTATAAGGAAACATTTGGCATTCATTGACCGTGCTGCGAGTACCGTTTTTGGTTGAAATTTATAAAATCTTTCTCTTAAAACAGTTTTTTAGGAAAACGGTTTTCTCAATTCCAGTATCGCTCTTTCCAGCACTGATGGAGTTTCTTCTCGAACTTTCTATTTGAAGTAATATGAAATGTTAACATCTTACATGTGCTATCCATTTTAGTTGTTGCTGTTGTTGATACTCCTCAAGTGACGTGGTTTCTGTTATTTGGTACAGTTCTTTGTTTATAATTCTGTAACACCAATCGACAATGTTCAAAGAAGGATAATCTTTCCCAAATCGCACAGGCTTTATTCGTTCGAAGCCTTTTTTGACCATTAATTTTGGAAGCCTTTATTAACCATTAATTTTGGAAGCCTTTATTAACCATTAATTTTGGAAGCATTTTTTGACCATTAATTTTGGAAGATTTTTTAACCATTAATTTTGGAAGCCTTTTTTAACCATTAATTTTGGAAGCGGTTGTATACAGCTGAGAGTTTATATATTTCTAAACAGTTTTGGCGCCATGCATGAAATCCATATGAAAGTCTCATTCTGACGAGGCTATTTAAGAACATGACAAGTTTTCAGGTTGATTTTTGGTTTTGTAGCAATTTGCGGTGTTGGGCGAAACTACACCTTTTCTTTAAAAGGAAGCATTTAGCATTCATTGACCGGGCAGCTACTACTGCTTTCGGTTGAAATTTATAAAATCTTTCTCTTAAAATAATTTTTTAGGAAAACGGGTTTCTAAAGTCCAGTATCGCTCTTTCCAGCACGGATGTGGTTCCTTCCCGAACCTTCTATTTGAAGTACTATGGAATGTCAACATCTTTATTATGTCATTATTTTCTCTTCGAGTTACATGTGCTATCCATTTTAGTTGTTGTTGCTGTTTGGCGCCACGCACGACATCCATATGAGTCTATTTAGAAACATAAGTCGAGTTTTCAGGTTGGGGGTTTTGGTTTAGTGGCAATTGGCGGTGTTGGGCGAAACTACCTCTGTCACAGCCTATTCTATGTTCAATTTTTTTCTAAGTGTCATTTTTGTTCCCATTTTTCTTAAAATTCGTTGTTGCTCACAATACGGTTCATGGTATCCTCAGTATCCTTCTGTAGGACCACATCCCTGTTGCCTTAAGTTTTCTTCATCTGAGAGGTGATTGTCCAGCCTTCACGGCAATATAGGAGGGTTGATATTACATAAAATCTCCTGTTGATCAAATACCACGAACGGTTGTGGAGTAACTCGTAGAATTAAAATTCGCTTTTCTGATCCAAAATTCTGGCTTTGCTGAGAATGCCATGGACGAAACACGTGAGCAAAGACGAAGTTTTAGAGAAAATGGAAACCAACAGGACACTTATCTCACCAGGTATGGTTTAAATAGTAGGGTAAATTAGTCTCTGTAGCCTTGGGTGGCAAGTAGTCTAAGGGAAGGGAAACTCCATAATATGCAGAAGAGAACAGGAAACTACTCCACTATCTTGCCATAGAAGTCACTACAATTTACAGATAATAATGAAAAGGTTTACAGAAGAGATATAGCATTAAATAAATTCTACTTTACTTTCTAGAAAAGTAATGCTAACATACCTACCTACATGTGTATTCATATATATATATATATATATGTATTCATATATATATACACATATATATGTAATATATATTCATATGTATACATATATATATATGTCTGCGTGTGTGAAAGGTGTATATATATATATGTGTGTGTATTCATATATATATATACATATATGAAGAAAAATTTTGAAAAAAAACAAACAAAATCTTAAATTTTTTTTTTAAAATGAATGAAATGTCGACGTCTGACGTTTCGGTTTAATTTTTTCAAGACAATATTCATTAAAATACAATACAGTTGAATATTGGACATAAAAAACACAAGTCTTATCCAAAACAGATAACTGAAAATTTTTTTTTTTAAAAAAAAAAAAAAAATTTATTAAAGATAATTTTGTTTTATTTTTTCATTTAAAAAAATTTTTTTTCAAAATTTTTCTTCGGATTTATATCCATTTACACTTGCTTTATATATACATATATATGTAATATATATTCATATATATATATATATATATATATATGTGTGTGTGTGAAAGGTGTGTATATATATATAGGTGTGTATATATGTAAGGTGTATTTATAGAAATGTATATGTAAGGTCTATATAAATATACATTTAAGGTATGTGTGTAAATATATATATGTAAGGTCTATTTATATGTATAAGATTTATTTATATGTAAGATGTAGTTATATATATATATAAGCTGTATATATATATATATATATATATATATATATATATATATATATATATATA